TTTAATTCTTTATAAGCAAAGATATATGTAAAGCTTAAATAAATTTTCTCTGATTTCGTGTGATATTATGTGTAGATATATTTATATTTAAATATCAATAAATTATGAAAGATATATTTTATACAATTTTGAAATTTAAAGATACATTGTAAATATATTCTCGTATAAGCTTTTTTATTATAATTAATGTTTTGCAGATAATAGATAATGGACTTTACTATTTTGAAGATAACGATTTTAATTTGAAGCACAACTATAACGAATTATTAATGAATAATTATTTAATATAAATCTATTTAAAAACTTTACCTTGTCAAATAATTCTTCAGAAAAAATTTGACCAATAATAATTCCCAATATTGATTTCATACTAATTAATCTATAAAAACAGAACAATATATTCACAATTAATACATATAATATATTTTTATATATTTATATAATAAATTTTTGTAAATAAAAATAAATTTATATAAAATTCTTTTATTTAATAAAGGAATACATTATATTACTTGGGTTTCACTGTCTCCAAATTTTCTAATACATAGTCAAGAACTAAATTGTTGTGTGCTTGCTTAACAAGAATAGTATGAAAGACATCAAAATGTGTTGAATCGTGCAATAACGAAGTATTCAATGCTATTACATTTAAATAATTGATTATAACATCAGGATTTTGAGAACAAGCCAAAACTTGCAAAAATTTTTTATCGTGATTTTGTTGATATAATTCAAATAGTCTATTCCAAGTAATTTGATCAGCTGTCATCATTCCACAACAATATGTCCATGTTTCCCACCATAATGGAAGTCTAAAATACATGTTTATTTAAAAAAAAGTACATGCAAACATTTGATATACAGAATTTCCATTGTGTTAAGTTTTCTATTTTCATATTTTATCTTATGTTTTATTAAAAGGATATTAATTTAGAAATTAAAAATTTTAAATTGTGCCTTTTTTTCCTCTTTCTCTCTCTCTTTCTCTCCTATACTTTGCTGCACATTACTAGTAAATTAATATTGTTATTAAATAAATTATAATATATATTTTTCCATTTTATTTGAAAAAGTATGTATTATTAAAAAACTTGTGTAAATAATTCTAATAAATACTAATAATACTACTAATACTGAACATAGCTGATAATTCCCTTTCGAGATATGAGCTCCTTTGAACTATTTCGTTCTTTAAATCCGTATGTATTCCGATTCTGCATTTATTATATTTTGTATAATTCTGATACATTAGAGACAAAGAAACAAATATTTCAGTAATATTACTTATCAGTACGTATATATTTTCCCTTATGTCCAAAAATAGAACAAATGTGATTATTTGTTTTGTCCATTATTGCTGTTATATAAACTAAAGATAAAAGAAAAATTTGAGAGTAGGACAGTTGATTTCGAGAGTTTGAAGAAATAAAAGTCTGTTATGTATATAAAAATAATACATGAGTGTGTATATATATATATATATATATATATATATATATATATATAGTATATATA